ATTTATCTACTCACGTGAGTTTTCGAACTGTTGGGTTTACAGGAACTGGGGAGGAAACAGGAGCTCACCCTGCTAAACAGGTAGCCCTCGTTTAATGACCACTCGTCAGTAATTGTTCGAAATTATGATGGTGCTGAACAAGGAGACATACAACCAGTCCTTGTAGTTACGGCCGCGCAGCATCCCCATGGTCACGGGATTGCAATTTGGGCACTTGGCAACTGGCTCACAATTATGACAATCACAGCATCCCCGTGGTCACATGATCGCCATTTGTAATCTTCCTTGCCAGCTTCCCACAAGCAAAATCAATGGGGAAGCCAGCAGGAGATCACAAATGCCAATCATGTGACATCATACCTAATGACCACATGGGATTCACTTAACGACGGCAACCAGAACTGCCGCAACTGCCGTCATAAGTCAGCACGGTCACGTGATGTCACACTTTACAACCGCAACGCTTAGTGACAGTGTTGCAGGTCCCAATTACCATTGTTAAGCGAGGACTACCTGTATTTCAAATAAATAAGATGAATATTGGTCTGCTTGAGGCTAAGCCACATTGGGTCTAGTTCAGTTACTCAGAAATAAGCCTTTATTTTGCTTAGTAGGACTAACTGCCAGATATGTGGATATAAGAGTGCAGCTACCATGAGAATCCAATTTTAGGGAGGTAGGATGCCATTACCACTAAAGTGGGAGACAGACAAAAAGCTCTGCAGAGCCTAAATTTGGAAGGACCAACTCACATGTACTTTTTTCTCTACAGGGTACACTCTGCAAAAATAAAAAAGAAACATTCTGGAACACGGCATTAAAAGTTGATTGTGGTTGGTACTGACAAGCTAACACTTGTGATGTCACAAACACACCTCCCCCATAACTTCTGTTGTTTTTTTAATGAGGAAAAGTGGGATGGCATAAATGAATAAGTTTTCAAGTGGTGCTTTGGAGGGGGAAAAGGGGGAAACTCTCAAAATATCACTTAAAATGGAGGGGGACAGGTAAGACTGCAGGCTAATGTAGAATTCTACTTGATAAGAGTACAAAACTTCAAAAGTCAAGGTCATGCAAGGAGAAAGAAATGGCCTTGACTCACTTCTAGTTTCATGCTTAGGACAAAGAACAAGAGTAGAGCAAGGATGCTTACCAGGGCAACAGTCTTTCAGAACGCAGGCTTTCATTTCCCACTCACGTGAACCACTCAGACATGTGCCTGGGCGGTAGCCGTAACATGACCGACTGCGCCGCTGGACACCTTCGGTGCACGAGACGGAGCATGCACTCCATGAGGTCCATTCGCTCCACTTAGCTTCGCTGTAGGAAAAGCAGAGCAAAGATGGACATAACAGCAGACTGGGATGAGGGTCTCCCCACTATGTGAAATCCAACCATGAAAGATCCCATTAGATCCGATCAAGGGTCCATCTAGCCCAGTATCCTGTTTCCCAACAGCAAAGGAAATATCTAAGGAAGTTCAGTAGTGGCATCCAAAGGCAGGCCAACAGGAGCTTTGCTGCCATCTTCCCCAGCATTCTGGTCCTCTAGTGGCTACCACCCAGATGCCACCCAGAAGGTCACAAGCAGGATATGAGCACGCTCCTACTCCTATTCACAGAATCTCACAAATGGTACCAGAGGTATGTCCCCCCTGTTGGGGTTGTGAAATGTTAGTACAAGAACCCTGAGGAGGAGAGAGGATTCAGTCCTACCTCATGGACAGCCATGAGGAGAAGAGGGAGAAAATGAGGGAAACAGGAAAAAAAAGCCGGGCTCCAAGCCCCTCCCACACAAAGCAGCAAAGCTAGGCCGCAGTGGGGCCACAAAGCCTCCCTTTGTGCTCGTGTGAGGCAGGCTTGGTTGGAACCCCAAATTTTCCAACACCCCTTCTTTTCAACCTTACATGTCTCCGTGTCCTACGCTATTTAATTTTTCTCTTAGTTCCTGATAACTGGTTCTTGACAATGGCTTCGTGAAGATGTCCGCTGTCATGTTTCCTGTGGGACAGTAGTTGAGTCTGATTAACCCTTGTTGTTGCAACTCTCTCACCACCTGATACTTTACATCAATGTGCTTAGTTCTCCCACCTACTTTCTCTGACTGTGAAAGTCTGATACCCCCAACATTGTCACTGTCTCAGTCTAGTAACTAAGGGTAGCCTTATTCATCATTAATCTGTCAAAAAGCTGTCCAAACTGGTGGCCATCATGACATGTTCTGGTAGCATATTTCACAATTCAACTAGGAAATATATGTAGAAGTATGTTCATATCTGTGTTCCACAATTCCACAAAGAACATGGTTTACATCCCCTCCAACCTCCCCACACCAAAAGAAAAAGAGCAGGTGCACAGTGGATATATACTAAGCTGATTGCCAGGGTGTTAATTCAGTGGACAAGAGAACAACATTTGGCTTAAATCTGCGGTTACATCTCCTTAGAAGTGGTTAGAAGTGATTTGAAATTAAAATAGAACATTTTGTTTCTCTGGATGTTTATCTACATTCAGATGTAGAAAAGCAATGTGTTGGTCCCTTAGCCAAATCCAGCACTGGATAAAATAGCAAGCAGAGGGAATGAGAAAAAATTGCTGGAAGTTATAGGTACAAAAACACATTAAATCAAAAATCTATAAGAATACAGTGGTACC